ACACCCCCCGGCTTGGGCTCTGTGTAGTTTACGTGGTGACTCAGTGGGTGACACTGGCACCTCACACCCCCCGGCTTGGGCTCTGTGTAGTTTACATGGTGACTCAGTGGGTGACACTGGCACCTCACGCCTCCCGCCTTGGGCTCTGTGTAGTTTACTTTCTCTCCCCATGTTTCCCAGATACTCCAGTTTCCTCTCAGTCCCACATCATGAGATTGGACCACCTGGCATCTCTAAATGTCCCATCGTATGTGAATGTGTGTTTGCTCTGTGATGGACTGGCATCCTGCCCAGGGTGTCCCCTGCCTTGTGCCCTGTGCTTCCTGTGACAGGTACCAAGCTCACTGCGATGGATGGATGAAATTTCCTTCTACATTTATACCGTTTTATCCATAAATATCTTGTACATGTAATACATAAAATGTCTACTCACGCTTTTTCTTTGTCCAACCCTGTAATTAACAAAAAAGATACAATTAACTATGCTAGAACTTAAATATAAAACAGCAATTTAGAGTTTATTGTAACTCCCAGGTTATAATTAATGGGTAATGATAATGAGTAATGCTGCATTCCATTTGCCCTCGGAACTCGGATTCCTAGTCTTGAAGCCGGAACAGCACAGAGGATCCCAAGTTCAGAATCCAAGATGGCTGCGCCCTTTATCAACAGAAGGGAAAGTTATAGATTTATCCTGTTTAAGCACTACTTCTCATTTGTGGCTCATCGGTCGCACACACTATACCATCCAACTTATCTGTGGACATGTTGCTACGGAGGTTTATATGTGAAGCACCGCGCATAATGTGTTATCAAGTAATATTGCTAACAATGGCTACCAATTAACGGGGCTAGAATTGGATTTCATGATTAGTCGGATTATTTGTCGGATTTACGGTAGTTCGGGCTAATTGTAAGTGAACAAAGATAAAGGCCATTTAAACTGAGGTACCTTAAATACGACAAGTTGTCCGGCTAAGCAAAAAATCTTGCTTTTTCATACGGGTCCATGGTATTGCTACTTCTGTGGCAAATGGAACGTATCCGACTCGGTTTTCCCAAGTTTTTAGCGGATGTGACGTAATCTCAGAATTCGAAAATCAGATCCCGAGGCAAATGGAATGCAGCATAATAACTAATGATTATTTGCATAATTATAATTATTATATAATGATTACTGATAGTGAAAGGTTTCTGCATTACACAGACACATGTGCTGTATCACTGATGATGTTTATATCATCTCCCTTCCTTTGTAATAGTCAGACTCCCAATTACTGCCTGAGTGCCCCCTACTGGCCAGGAGGCCATTACAGTCCCGCACCACCGAAACAGCATCATAAAAGCAGACCAAAAAAGCTCAAAAGAATTAAAGCCACGGTGTTATTAAATGTTTCGTCCTGAGCCACACAATGTAGTGAAGAAACAACACAATGTGGTTATAAATGAAATATTCATATAGGTTAAATGCTGGACATGGAGGTCAGATAAAATGTCACTATAAGCATTTTCTGTTGTTTTATACTGCAATATTGATAAGGACAATTACTTAGTAACTACTGACTGATTACTCAGTTTTCTGTGTGATTACTGTCCTTTCTTTTATACTGGGACACTGCCTTTCTTGCTTCTGTCAGTGACTGGGATACGGCAAGATGTAAACAATGACTGGAAAGCTGTCAACACAAGGAAAAACTCCCAGTACACATATTCAGCCTTTATGGAAAGTTATGCATCATATCCCTGTTATACTTACAGTATGAAGACATCTGTATGACAAACCAGCTAAAGAGGAAGACAGACGCAGAAATCAGGACAATCAGTCGTAGATCCAATGAGTGTTTTCCAGTGTCTGAAATGACATCATCACAAAAATCACTGAGAGCTGAGGTCAGTAAATGAGCAGTAAGTGACACACAGGGTGACCAGCGGCGTGACTCTGAGAAGGAGGACAGCTGTGTCCAAAAAGGGGGACTGAGGCTCAAAGACGAGGACACCCATGAAAAGCTGTTCAGCGGGGGGGGGTCATGCATCGTATCGAGCACAGCCGGGGGGGGAACAAGGGGGCTAAAAGGAG